AGTTCCTCTCTAGGTATTAGATTCGAAAGAACTGGAGCTGTGGTCAGGTATTTTTTCAAGTCAGCCAAGGCGACTTCACATTCTTCTGTCCACAAGAAATCCGTAGCCTTTTTCAACAGATTGAAAAATGGTTTACACTTATCTGAACTTCTGCTTATAAACCTATTCAGGGCTACGGCCATTCCTGTCAGCATCTGTACTTGTTTTGCCGATGTAGGGCTCTTCAAGTCAATGATGGCCTTGATTTGATCTGGGCTTACCTCAATGCCCCTTCTAGTAACCAAGTACCCCAAGAACTTACCAGACCCAACTCCAAATGCGTATTTCGAAGCATTGAGTCGGACCTGATATGTTCTAAGAATATCGAACACTGTTTTCAAGTCGACCAGGTAATTCTCAGGTTTTTTGGTCTTCACGACCACGTCATCAATGTATACTTCCACTATTTTGCCAATCAGATGTCTGAACATCTTGGTCACTAATCTCTGGTGCGTTGCTCCTGTATTTTTCAACTCGAAAGACATCACTCTGTAGCACTACAGCCCTTTTGGGGTAATAAATGCAGTCTTCTCTTCATCAGGGGTTACATTGCTATCTAATGGTATCCCCTGTAAGCGTCCAGGAAGCTTATCATTCCATGCCCTAAAGTGGCATCCACTAATTGATCGATCTTGGGGTGTGGGAAACTATCTTCGGGACAAGTCTTATTCAGGCTAATAAAGTCCACGCAGACCCTCCAATTCCCATTTTTCTTTTTTACAACCACAGTGTTGGACAGCCAAGCAGGGTAGTTTACCTCTCGGATGGCTCTGGCCTGTAACAATTTATCCACTTCCTCCTCTACTGCCTCCACATGAACCAACTTTGGCCTCCTTGCTCTCTGAATGACGGGTTTAACCGACCTGTCTACATTCAGTCTGTGGCATGTAACCTCGGGGTCAATGCCAGACATCTCTTATGGCGTCCAGGCAAACACCTCTATGTTTGCTTGCAAGAATGCTTCTAACTCCATTTTCTCTTTCTTGGCCAAGCCTGAGCCGAGGAGGAAGAAACGCTCTTTATCCCCTTGTTGGACTAGAATTTTCTTTAAGGCTTCCTCGCTTTTGTCGGCCGACTCTTTTGCCGACGTCATCCAAGAACTCTATGTCCTCGTCCTCATTCTCTACTGTTTCTGCTTCTCGTACATTATAGGTGGATTTCATTGCTGCTATGGAGCAATTCTTTACCTACACCTGATCCCTTTTGACCTCTTCAATTTCATGCTCTATTGGGAATCGCAACAGTTGGTGTAGTATAGAGGGAATAACCCTCATTGCGTACAACCATGGCCTCCCCAAGATAACATTGTAAGGGGAGGAGGTGTCAATTATTGTGAACTCTGTTCTTACGTTATTGGTGCCTGCTTGCACCTCCAAACTTATTGCTCCCAGGGGCCATGTCGGTGTTCTATTGAACCCGACCATTGGACCGTTGGACTACTCCAGGTCATCTTGGTGAAGGCTGAGCTCCTTGTAACATCTGACATATATGATGTCACAAGAGCTTCCTTGATCAATCAGAATGCGCTTACTTGGCATTCTCCAATCGTAAGGGATATCACCAGAGCATCGTTGTATGGATGCTGCACCATGTCTAGGTCAGCTTCAGTAAACGACAACATTGGTCCCTGGTACTCGTCTGCCTTAGGCCTCTTTTACTAGACCTGATACACATGCTGTAAGTGTTTTACCCTCTTAGTCTCCCCACGTACCTCATTCTCATTGACCTTTGAGTGAATCACATTGATCACTCGAGGTCCATCCGTTTGCGGTTGTGGTGCTGGTGGAGGTGGAGGTGGAGGTGGTGCTACCGGTGCTTGGGGCAACTTTGCTTGCTCTTCCCTTGTTCTGGCCTTATTTACTATGTCCCTTAAGTGACCTTGTCTTACCAAATCTTCCAAATGTGTTTTTAGGGATCTACAACCCTGTGTCAGGTGTCCATCTTCATTGTGGTAAGCACAGTGCTTTCCCAGGCTTCTTCCCATGAATTCGCCAGGAACCTTTTATGGCGCTCTATAATACGGTTGGTTCCTGATTCTTTCCAGAACTTTATAAATCGGAATCCGAAATATGGTAGTGACTGCCTATACAGCTCTCAGTCCTTCTCTTGCCTGTTAATCTAGTATTACCTCGGCCTCACTTCGGCGAGCCATTTATCTTCTCTTGTTTTGACACATTTGTCCCTACCGTGTCTTCTTTAGCTCTCGCATATTTCTCGATCTTGGCCATAAGTTCCTTCATACTTTTTGGTAGCATCCCTCCATACTTTTTGGTAGCGTATTTGCCAGTGACTTTAGAAGCAAGCAGTCATCGTTTAGGCCGTTCTTAAAAAATACGAGCGCCAACTCTTGGTTGCATCCTGGTATTCGGTTAAAAACCTCATAATACCTTTTGGCATAAGCCCTGAGACTTTCATCCTCACCAATTCTCAAAGCCATCAAGGAGTCTACCCTCAATGGTTGTAGTTTCTTTGCAACAAACCTGGCCACAAACATCTCGGCCAGGCCTTCCCAACTTTTTATAGTTCATTTTGGCAACTTATGAAACCAATTTGATGCACTTTCCCCAAAGGATGAGAAGAACACCTTGTAGAGAAACGGTTCATTCCCGGTATACAGTGCCATTGAGTTCAAATATGAGCCGACGTGAAAGTTAGGATTGGGCTTACTGTCGTATATCTGAAATCTTGGCATGTGGAACCTTTTTGGGGCCTCAAACTTGTCCAATTCAACTGAGAACGGCGTTCTCGGCTTGACCGGAGACGTGACCTCGGCATCTTGTCGCTTTCTCTGGAGGTAGTCCCTCAAATCCTCCTTAGTCCGTCCAAGAGCTTAGCTATCAACGAAATTTTCCCTTTTTGGTGCGCTGCTCCCGGTGTCGTTCTGAGTCCTCTTGGACCTCCATTTATTCATTGTGCCAAAACAAAGCTCCTTTCCTTGAACATGCCGATATTCCTTAACATAAGTTTCCTTGGCACGATGTGTTTTCTGAGACACTCCTCTCATCGACTCTCTTTACCCGACCTCCCACGAAGGCCGATGCGAATGTTCCTTTGTCCTGTTATGCTGAGGGATTGCAGGGATTGCTTTCTGTCCCCTTTTCTGGGCATCGTTCTTGGCTGCTAGAATGAATGTGTCCTCCAATGGAAACGATGGCTGCATGACGTTGTTCTGCATCATGAAGTTGACAACCGATTGTAGGTCTACCAGCTTGTTTGCCATTTCTTTCAACTTGTTGTCCCTTTTCAGGCATCTATCTTTCCATCCTAGTGGTCACCTTCATTTTAATACCCGCATTGACATGCTTTCTTCAGTACGTCTCCATCTTGGTCGACGTCTTTTTCTCTGGGATTCTTATCCCGAGGTTCTTCATTACAGTTGTCCCTCTCAACATTAGGATCGGTGTTTTTACCACTCCCACTAGGGATGTCGCCCCCAATCTTTTCTTTCTACCCATCGTTGGCCATCTATTCTCCTTACGTTTCCCACAGACGGTGCCAAATTATTAGTGTTGATTTCCAACCACACTGCCAAACAGGAACTCAGCAGAAGAGCACATGCAGAATAGATCACGCCCGAACAACCTGTCACAGAAAGATAAGACTTCAGCGGTGGTTCGTCCACCCGAGGGCACTCTGACGATCAAGTTAGTACCCAGTTATCTTTCAAAGATAGCAAATAGTGCTTCACTCTACTAGCCAGAATATAAAAAACGTACCTTAGACCCATGAAGGTGCCTTATTTTTATAGCCAGCACTAACCTGATCCCCGTAGAAGCCTAACTTCAATGAACTCTGGCTCAATACTTATCTTAGACTCCCAGCTAGATAGAGATAAACTCCTTAAGAGTTTTATCTTTATTCAGATTGAGGTCCTCCCCATTCTAGGACTCTTGTCCCCTATCCGCTCATCTCGGATTTCGGTATCTTCGTAGATAACCTCGGCTTAGCCAAGATGTCCTCGGCAACATGATCAAGACACGTGGCACCTCGGCTGACACTTTGGTGCTACCTTGGCCACGTGTTGTCACTCACAAAATATGTCCTCATAAGTTGATCCCTGGGGATGCAATTCTAGCTGTTGATAAGATTCAATTATCAGAAGCCGGGCCTAATTAGGTTTCTGCGGTTGTTAATGTCATCAAGAAAAATCCCAAAAGAAATGTGTTGCTAGAAATTGCTAGAGGAGATTAGGATTTTGAAGTTGGAGTTACTTCTAATGATAATTCCATATGGTACAGGTCGAATTGGTGTTCAATTATCACCAAATGTTAAAGCCTATCAGTCTATTTGAAAGTCTCACTTCCTCAACAAAACCTTTTTGTTGCATTGCATACAAAAGATGTCTAACTTACTTTAACGTGAAATTGGAGGATGATTTTTAGTTGATTCAAAAGAAAAATCAAGGCTATGTGTGGATAGATTTTCAAACTATAATTCCACTCTCATATTCTAACACTGCAGGAAATCTGAGTTTTAGCGGCGTTTTAAAAACGCCGCTAAAAGCCTGAAAAACGCCGTAAAAACTTAAAGCGACGTTTAATATTTTCGTTGTTGATACGGCCGCCGCTATATCTTTGCAACGTTCAAAAAACGTCGATAAAAATATTAGACGGCGTTTTTTAAAACGCCGCAAAATATTTAACGTCCATCTCACAAACTAACGTGTGACGTCAAGATGACGTCATTTAGTGGCGTTTTTCAAAAAACGCCACTTTCCCCCCCAAACTAACGTGTGACGTCACGATGACATCATTTAGCGGCGTTTTTCAAAAAACGCCACTTTCCCCCCCCCTTCTCTCATGCGCTGCTACAAGAATATAAAATAAAATACCCTTTTCTTTTTTTTTTTCCTGTGCTGCTGCAGGAATATGGAATAAAATACCAAATTTTATTTTATTTTATTTTTTGTGTTACTGCTGCTGCAAGAATATGAAATAAAATACCAAAGTTGGCATTCTCTGTGACCATATATAGTTGCTGTAAAATAAATATTATTGTGCACTACAAAGTTCATACTACAATTTTGGAAACAGGGTATAAACCAAAGAATTTAACTAATTGCACATTTCATGAGATTTTTACTACACAAAATATATCACATTGATCTTCCAAAGTATATCACATAATAAAGATATTAAAAAGCCTTTCTTGAATGACAAACTACAACTGTCATTATCTGCAAAACAGAGACAGTTTATTACAGAAAACCGATATGAGTCCTTGTGATGTTGCAGAGAACTTGATACCAAAGACTGCTTCAAAAGAGACTTGCTTAAACGAACTGATTGAAGCTCTCAACAAAGCCAAGGAAAGCACAAAGTTGAAAACTGAGAAAGAAGCAAAAAACAAAAAGTTATCATCAAAAGCAGCTAAAAAATACAGTCATGTATGGATGCAGATGATTGGAGGGCTAAGCAAGGAAAAATAAAAGAAACAATGATGGTAGATGGTAGGATTGCATGTTTTTCTTGTTCCTTACCTCTAAAAATAAGAGAGTATAAAAGTTGTTTAACTAATGTAATGATGTAGCTCATAAGCTAACACGTTTATTAAGATGCATAATATCTACATGAGGGTTTTGAATAACTTCGAAAAATACAGGTAATGTCACCTAGTGACAGCTACTATTACATAATGAACTTAATTTAAGAAAAGAGGTAAAACTTTGAAAAGGGAAAAAGAAAAGGAAAGGACAATGTGAATTAAATATAAACTCCCTTTTTTTCTTTTTCTTTTTTCTATTTCCCTTTCTTTTTGCAAATCCTATCCAAATCCATGATTCAAAAACAACTCAAGGTTTTTCCCTCTTTCCTCCTACCCCATTCATTGGGTTGTAGGTATTTTGACCAAAATATTTGTATCTTTTTATGAAATATATCAAATAAAATTGTTATTCATTGATAATCATGCAGCAAAGTACATTCGTTTTCATACCATCTCTCTCTTTTCTTTTCTTTTTTTTCCACTACTGATCCAATAGAAACATCTTCATTTTGACCCCTTAATTCTTTGAAATGGATGGTTTTATAGAGTTCAACAAACCCTCCAATCTTCATTTTCCCATCAGACACTTTTCTAACAGGGGCTACATTTGAGTGCAGCTATTCAATCTTAAAGTGTAAGGAAACGGCCTTACCAATTGAATCTCTTCTCAAAGCTATTAAATCAGCACAACTGCAAAAAAAAACATTCAGTCATGGTTATTTCTACTGAAGTGAAGATTGGAGAAAATAGCTACATAAATGCAATACAAAGATTTTAATCAATATGACATTCTCTATCTTGAGAGGAATTTGCATCTGTAAACAAAGGAAAACAAATTCTATACATAACAGGGTAAAGAGTAATAAAAACTCTAAAGCAGCAGCTCTCATGTTTATACAATGTTTTGGATAATTACTTTCCCAACAACTAAATCTCAATATGACACATCATTCCAACTTTTGTTTGAAAACCAATTAAGATGGGCAGAAGTCAAAAAAAAAGTCTGTTCTTTCAGTGGAACGACCACAATAAGGCACAAGAGAGAGAGAGAGAGAGAGAGAGAGAGATATGCTAGAACCATGACCAAAGAAATCATCCAGGAACAAAAATAAGAATTGATTTCTTTTTTTTTTTTTTTGTGATAAATGAGAATTGACTATTTACACTACCTGTTCAAAGCCTTCCCAAGATCTGCACAAAGAGATCAAACAAATGTCCCCTTTGAGCATGTCACCCGGAAAATCAAATTTTGTCTGCAATAAATAAGACAAACTTACAAAAACAACAAGATTATTGCTACTTGATAGTATGTAATATATCAACTTCATCAGTCAATGTCCATTGTTAGTTCATATAGACACTTTTCCTAATATGCATAAACCATACACATAAATTATATCTATGTTTCCCACTAATGAGGGAAAGGTTCTCAAAAGTTCCTGAATATTAATTTATTTCATTTTCAAACTGCGTTTGATCTAATTTTCAAAGGGTAATCACCAATGTGAAATTATTTGAGCACAATTAGCATGACATTTATTTGTTTTTATCACTGAAAGAAAGAATTGCAATGATTCAAAATAAGATCCATCTCAGGATAGCAGAACCACCATATAAAAAACCCACAATTACTACATGACAACATTAATGTGATAAATAGGTTATACAGAAGCAACAAGCTAAGCTTCAGACAACCTGTCATCTAAACTTTGCTCGATATCAAAATGGAAAATTGAAATCCACCTCGGTGAAAATCCAATGCTTTCTCATTTTCTTGCTTTTTCATACATCTTCTCACCCCCAACCTATCACAAGATGTAGAAACATATAAGCAATCATACAACCACACAATGCCATTTCAATACCATATCATTGTCACACATAATTCTAAGGAACGTGAAGGAAAATATGAATTATATATCTTACAAGCAATAGATACAACCTAAAATTTTTTATCTAATTTTTTAAATAATACTCCACCTCCCTGGAACATGAATAAATATAAATGGATCCTCCATCATTAGTTTCTCTTTAAGTGCATGTAGTTGCTAGGTTTCTATGCTAGCTATGTCAGGTTGAAGGAAAAGTGCATTGAGTCATTATCTCACCTCAATTCTAAATTTCTGAATGTGACACTGTTTCTTGAATTCCAAAGAGTCCACACTATAACAAAGAAGATGGTCTCCCAAATTGTGGTAACCTTCAAAAATTCCATGGTTTTCCCCTTTCCAAATTAAACAATCCTCCGATCCCCTCAAGATAGAGCTCATACTCAGACTCTGCAGATTGTTCAACACCTCATGTTCCCACTGAAAGAGATTTATCCTAAAATCCAGTTTCCAACCACTACCATTTAACAATGAGAAAGTAGAGAATGAAAAATGTACCTGAGATAAGAGCAAGAGAGATCAACTAGAACAAATCGATTTTGGATTTTGGATCTGCGATTTGATGAAGAACAGATCGATTTTGATGAAGAACAGAAACACAAACACAAACACTAGCAGTCTCAACAAGTTAAAAACCAAAATGAAAACCAAAATAAATTTTAAAAAAAAACACAACCACAAACACTCTAATTACAAAATCAAAGATGATAATCCAATATTTTCTAGTTTTTGTGTGTGTGTGGAAATGAAGCTATTGCATATAAATGTGTGCTTGAGCTTCAAATCGAGGGTTGTTTGAGCTTCGATCAACATTGATGAAGAACATACAACGCAAAATCTGCAATCGAGTGAGCGAGAGAGAGAGTCTGTGTTTGAGCTTCAAATCGAGGGTTTTGGAAGAGAGAGAGAGACAGAGAGAGACAGGAGTGTCTGTGCATTTGAGCTTCAACTCGGGGTTGTAGAAGAGGCAGAGAAAATGATAGACGGAGTCTAAGACAGTGTTAATAAATTGACTCAATACGACGTCATTTAACGGAAATCAAAGACAACGTTTTTAAAACGCTGTGTTTAATGAATCTATAATGGCGTTTCCTTAAACGCCACAAAAAAAACGTTGCAATATGCCGTTTTTTTAGTAGTGTAATACTATGTTTAGATACATCTTTCAAATTATATTTCCACAACAAAGGGAAACTCTGTCGAAAACTTTGTGTTAGGCGGGATTTTATTTATTTATTTATTTATTTATTTTGAAATTTGGCGTAGCCGGTCATTTGGCCTGTCAACCGGAACATAGAAATTTTTTTTTTATATATTTTTTATATATATTTTTAATAAAACAATATTTTCAAAAAATTTTAAAATTTTTTATGAACTTTTAATTGATTTTTGAGCTGTGTGTTTGTTTATGAGTTGTCAGTTTGCATCATATATCATATATCACATCAAAAATTACTCACTCAATTTAAAACTTTTTTCAAAACTCATTCAGCAAACAAATTTTTCATATTCAAATCATAATTTCAAAACTCTCAAATTCAAAATATATCTATATTTTCAAATCATATTTAGAAAACTTTATCAAAATGCTACCTAAAACTTTATGTAGTGGCTTTGGAGATGAGCTGGGTAGCTTCTTCTTCTTCTTCTTCTCCTTTTTATTATTATTATTATTATTATTATTTAAGTTGGGTTCAAAACCACCTCATTTAATACATCCATAAAGAAATAGTGTGTTTGGTTGGGAGATTTAGAGAGGAATTTGGAAAGGGAAAGGAAAAATGTGTGTGAAATTAAATATAATGTAGGTATATGTTATTCGTATTTTACCTGTTTTTTTCATTTCCCTTTTCAAATTCCTTATTAGATCCCCCAATCAAAAGGTTTTGAAATAACATAATCACCCTTACAAGTTTAATAAATTTATATGGGTTAGGCTTGCCGTCCATTCATGACCTAGATTTGAGAATATTGTTTGGACTCGTAAAATCTATTACTGAGTTTTACTTTGATAATTTAAATTGTTAATTTTGTAAGATTCTTAATATATATCATATTATCTAAAAAAAATTTAGTTGATCTGATAATTAGAACATCTTGATTTTATTACATTTGTCTAAAATATAATGAATGATTTATTTTTAAAAACACATTTATTGTTTATTTCAAACCAGAACCATTTCAAATTAGATTTTAACTTCTTAATCATTTTGAGGAGAGTGAATGGACTACTTTGTTCCTTGATTTTGGTTTAATTTCTAAGGATCGTTGTCATTCGACTAAATTGACACAATAAAAAAAAAACTACAGTAACTACAATTGTAACTTGCCCAAAAATATTTATCACAGAAGAGACTATCAATTTTTGAAAAAGAAACTTATAAATATGCTTTATTATTTTAATAATAATGTAAATAGCAGTTTAAATAAACCATCTGCATAAAACCAGACATCAATGCAGACCACCAAATCCAGAAGAAGCTCATAAGATTGAATTAGCTTCAATTTATGGCCTAACTTGTATGATAACTTTTCCAACATTAGAGCTTGAGAACATGGAATTAAAACTCTCCAAGAAGCTCTCAATTCCATTGTAAATTCTGTGTTTGGAAATGATCTTTCCTTCTTTTATGTAGCCCTCCATCTCCTTCATGAAGTCTCCAAAGCGATTCATATATGAACCCACCATAAACCCTTCCATCCTCACTTCTTTGCCCACCATGTTCAGTAGGTTCCTAACCCCTTCTCTCTCCGTCCATCTCTGTATCATACCACAAAATTACACTAAAAAAAACAAGTCCCACATCCAAATTCTAATAACAAAAGCATGAATGAAAATTTGTAATCGTGTAAATAAGGATTTTGATGATGACAATGGTGTTTGGACGATAATTACCTGATTGTATTGAGAGATCATACCGCAAAGTGGAATACGAGCACCCTTGTTGACATTGTTAAGAACTGCCTCTAGCATCTTACCACCCACATTCTCAAAGTAAATGTCAATACCATCAGGGAAACGCCTGTGTAACATTTAACAACAAAAATTAAGAAGTGTAATGCTAATTTTTATAACCTCAGTAGTTGTTGTTTCGGATTATACAAAGAATTTTTTTCAAAAATAGTGCAAACGATAAAAATGTTCTGCGAAAGTTACAACTTAATTTCGTAGCTTCTACTCAATTTCTCTGAAATATTTCTCAAAGTTTTTTTAAAATAACTTCACATTCCTTAAATTTTTTGAAGCTAAACAATCAATTAGCCCAGGAGCCATATTCTTTGAGAGGCTGAAAATTGTCGATCTACCCACATTTTACTATGAATGCTTATGACTTTCTATTTTCATAACCGTTAACTCCTATGAAGTATGCATACTTTGAAAAATATGTTATATCTGTACCGAGTACTTATCGGCATATGATATCTCATATGATACTTCTACATACATATCGGGTATACGAAACACATACCTAAATTTTTTCTTCTTAATTTTTGGCATATCCAGGTGTATCTAGTATATACTCAAGTCGTATCACTAGACTTCTTTTTTATTTTTAATTTTATTCTTAGCATGATTTTAGAATTAAACTATGATTTGTATGTTATTTAATATATTAACATTTAAATTTTGATTTATATCTTTATTTTTGACATTAAATATTAATTATAGGTTGGATTCTTACAAATTAAATCATTTTATTAATTTTTGCATTACTCTAAATTAAAAATAAATATTTTTTTACAAGCATTCTAAGTCCAAGTCGTATCCATACCCTACTTTTTTTGAATTTTACCGTATCGACGTACCAGTATCGTGCCAGTATCAATATTTGTATTTGTACCCGTACCTGTGCCCGTGCTTCATAGGTTAACTCAAATGTAAGCAAAAACTATATTTCGACTAAAAAATAAAAATAAAAAAAGGCAAGAAACAAATTACTTGCTTAAGGCTGCATCAATATCTGTCTCTGTGTGGTAATTGAATGCATCGTCATATCCAAATTCATCCTTCAACAGCTTCACCTAGATACGATAAAGGAAATACCAATGCAATATGGAGAGAAGAATAAAGAATAATCAAAATGATCTATTGATCAAGTGGTGTCGGGAATGGACTCGAAATGGAATTTTCAATAAAATAAAATAAAATAAAACCATATTAATACCAAAATACCATGAGTATGTCCAAAATACATTAAAACTCAAATTCTCAAGTCTGACTAATGCAAAACCACCAACAAAAGGAAGCCAATAAACACACCCCTGTGTGCAATTCTGGTAATAGATTACGCTATTTTCATTTCTAGAGTTTATAATTTTAATTTTGTTAGAAATTTCAGTTGCAAAGTTTGAATCATCTCTATTTCTCTCATATGAGATGTTTTAGTTCCTTATGTTCCAAGTTTCAATTTGAAGAGCTAAAAAGTGATTAGTGATGCTATAAAATCAGCTTGTGGATTGGTTAATCATATATTTTGTTACTTTAAATCACTATTTCCCATGATAACATTACCAACTTAGCATCAACCAAAGAAACCGAAAACCTAATTAAAAGACAATTTTCTTCTAAAATAGTTGACTTTTAAATGGTCTTGTTAAAAGGTGTTCTATTTGAAAATAATTCTAACAAGCCTAATAATTATGTAATCAACGAAGCGACTAATTATTTGGTAATTTTAGATTATTATTTTATCTCATTTATCACTTAACGCTTGTCAAATTCTCTTTTAAAATCCTCACAAAACGTATTAATTCTTGCAATTTCAACTAACAAGTTATCAAGTTGGGACATCATATAGATTTGTCCCAAGACCACCCGTAATTTTTCCATGAAGCAACTGTGGGGACATAATTTTTGAATGACAACACGTGGCCGAGGTGTCACTGAAGTGCCAGCCGAGGTGCCACGTGTCCTGGTCATGACGCCGAGATCATTTCGACTAGGCCGAGGTTATCTGCGAAGATACCGGAATCCGGGATAAGTAGATAAGGGACAAGAGTTCTAAAATGGGAGAAGACTTCAGTTTAGGTAAAGATAAGACTCTGAGAGAGTTTATCCTAATTCTACTGGGAGTCCAAGATTAGCAGTAATCCTATGTCTATTAGAGCTAGGCTTCTATTGGGACTAGGATTGTGTTAGCTATAAAAGTGAGGCACCCCCATGGGTCTAAGGTATTTCTTTTATACTTTGTCTAGTGAGTTAAGCACTATTGATTAGCTTTGAGAGATATTTTACTGACTTGATCGTCGGAGTGCCCCCAGGTGGACAAACCACCGCCGGAATCTCTTCTTTCTATTGCAGGTCGTTCGAGCTTAATCTATTCTACTAGTGTTCTCCAGCTGAGTGCTTGATTGGCAGTGTGGTCAGAAATTGACACACACAATTTGGCACCGTCTGTGGGAAAGAAAGAAGAATAGATGGCCAATGACGGACAGAAAGAGAAGGTTGGGGACGACACTCCTAATGGGAGTGGGAAACCTGTAGACCTTAACATCGAAGAAGACAACTATAACAAAGAGACTCACGATAAGAATCACGAAGGAAATGACGTCGGTCAGGAGAGCGACGTACCAAAAAAAACGGACCGGACTGGGTATTACAACGAGGACGACCTCCTGGTATGGAAAGAAAGATGTCTACGGAGGGACGATGAGGTAAAGGCCATGGTGAACAAATTGGCGGACCTACAAACAGTGGTCAATTTCATGATGCAGAATAACGTCATGCAACCACCATTCCCACAATAAGATACGCCGATTCCAGCGGCAAAGGAGGATGCCTGAGAAGAGGGGCAGAAAACAGTCCCTACAGTTTCCCAGCACACCAAGACCGAAAAACACTGTCACCGGCCTTCAAGGGAGATCGGGCGAGGAGAGTCAAGAAGGGTAGAATCGAGGAGGACGCATCGCACCAAGGAAGCCGACCCCAAAGAACACCGGCCTGTTCAACGGCAGGACTTGTGCTTCGACGCAACCAATGGAGGGAAGTCCAAAAAGACCCATAATGAAACTGGGAGTAGTGCACTGAAAAGGCTGAAGTCAGGAGATAGCCGAGTTCCTAGACGGACCAAAGAGGATTTGGGGGATCATCTACAGAGGAAACAACAAGATGTCGAGGTAACATCCCCGGTCAAGCCGAGAACGCCGTTCTCGGTAGAATTGGACAAATTCGAAGCCCCGAAGAGGTTTAGCATGCCAAGATTCTAGATCTACGATGGTAAGTCAGACCCCAACTTTCACGTCGGCTTGTACCTGAACTCGATGGCGTTGTACACAGGGAACGAGCCGTTACTCTGCAAGGTGTTCCCCTCATTCTTCAAAGAAATTGCATCAGATTGGTTTCATAAGTTGCTGAAAAGAATTGTGAAAACCTGGAAAGGCCTGGCCGAGATGTTTGTGGCCAGGTTTGTGATAAACAAGCTACAGCTATTGAGGGTGGACGCCCTAATGGCCCTGAAGATCGGCGAGGATGAAAGCCTTAGGGCCTATGCCAAAAGGTATTATGAGGAATTCAACCGAATACCAGGATGCAACCAAGAGGTGGCGGTCGTGTCATTTAAAAACGGCTTGAAGGATGACTACCTGCTTTGAAAATCATCGGCAAAGACATTGCCAAAAAGCATGGAGGAGCTGATGGCTAGGATAGAAAAGTATGCCAGAGTCGATGAGGACACGCCGGGGACAAAGGCGCCAAAACAAGAGAAGAGAAATGGTTCGCCGAAGCGAAGCCGAGATAACACTGGATACGAAAAGACAAGAGCTCAGCCCAAGTGAGCAGATCCCGGATTCCAGATCTCGGATCTCAGATTCTAGAAGACAAGATCTCGGCTTTGATGATTAAGTCCAAGAAGAGAAGAGTTTGGCCTAAGTTAAAGAATTTTTATATAAGGTCCACAAAGGAGTATGTGGAAGCCATGCAGGGGGCAGATCCCTTGCCTATAGAGTAATATCGTAGGGATTCTTTTGGCCTTACATGCAAAGAGAAGCTGAAGCCTATGTAAAAAAGCATGAAAATGCTTTGAAATCTACCTACAATGTGCGATAGAACAGTAATTCGGCTGGGGGCATACCAGCAACAACTTGCTAGGGCTTACAACAAGAAGGTCAGCCCAAGAGAGTTCAAAGTTAGGGACCTCCGGCAATGGGGTATAACGACTGAAGCAATAATAAAGTTCTAGTTTGATTTTTGAAATCTGTGCGATAGGACCGACCAGTCCTATGACGATGTTTCTGATTGAAACATGACGAATAACTTAGACTTATTATATGGCAGAGTAGAAACTTTACTTGCATATAATAAAGTTGAACTAAGTTGGGTTAACCTGGACTTGTCATATCGGCAAAATCAGACATAGATTGGAGCTGAGTACCTTAGGAAAGAGACCAAGGTTGATAATCTCGGCCAGTCTTTGTTCGAATCTTACATCGGCGACGAGGTCAAAGCCACGTGCCTAATGAGAACCCAAGTGAAACTTGAGTTCACATTAGGGGGCAAAGGGCTGAAGAATGATGCTTGGGAATTGGAATTTCACAAGCTAAGATTGGTTTAACACTTGTTAAAATTGAAATTTACAAGTTGAAGTTAAACCGAGGCCATATTTAACGCTTGTTGAAATTGAAATTTACAAGTTGAAGTTAAACCGAGGATATGTTTAACACTTGAAATTGAAATTTACAAGTTGAAGTTAAACCGATGATGTGTTTAACACTTGTTGAAATTGAAATTTACAAATTGAAGTTAAACCGAGGATATGTTTAACACTTGTTGAAATTGAAATTTACAAGTCGAAGTTAAACCGATGATATGTTTAATACTTGTTGAAATTGAAATTTACAAGTTGAAGTTAAACCGATGATATGTTTAAAACTTGTTGAAATTGAAATTTACAAGTTGAAGTTAAACTGATGATGTGTTTAACACTTATTGAAATTGAAATTTACAAGTTGAAGTTAAACTGGGGATGTGTTTAACACTTGTTGAAATTAAAATTTACAAGTTGAAGTTAAACTGATGATGTGTTTAACACTTGTTGAAATTGAAATTTACAAGTTGAAGTTAAACCGGGGATGTGTTTAACACTTGTTGAAATTGAAATTTACAAGTTGAAGTTAAACCGAGGATATGTTTAACACTTGTTGAAATTTAAGTTTACAAGTTGAAATTAAACCGATGATGTGTTTAACACTTGTTGAAATTGAAATTTACAAGTTGAAGTTAAACCGATGATGTGTTTAACATTTGTTGAAATTGAAATTTACAAGTTGAAGTTAAACCGATGATGTGTTTAACACTTATTGAAATTGAAATTTACAAGTTGAAGTTAAACCGAGGATATGTTTAACACTTGTTGAAATTTAAGTTTACAAGTTGAAGTTAAACCGATGATGTGTTTAACACTTGTTGAAATTTAAATTTACAAGTTGAAGTTAAACCGAGGTCACATTTAACGCTTGTTGAAATTTAAGCTTACAAGTTGAAGTTAAGCTGAGGTCATCTTGAAGGAAGATTGGTTTAACACTTGTTGAAATTTGTGAAAAATTTACAAGTTGAAGTTAGACTGAGATCATGTCTAACACTTGTTGAAATTTGTAAAAAATTTGCAAGTTGAAGTTAGACCGAGATCATGTTTAACACTTGTTGAAATTTGTGAAAAATTTATAAGTTGAAGTTAAACTAAGTTTAGGTCTAACACTTGTTGAAATTTGTGAAAAATTTATAAGTTGAAGTTAAACTAAGTTTAGGTCTAACACTTGTTGAAATTTGTGAAAAATTTACAAGTTGAAGTTAGACTGAGATCATGTTTAACACTTGTTAAAATTTATGAAAAATTTACAAGTTGAAGTTCAACTAAGGTTATGTCTAACACTTGTTAAAATTTGAGAAAAATTTACAAGTTGAGTTAGACCGAGATCATGTTTAACACTTGTTGAAATTTGTAAAAAATTTACAAGTTGAAGTTAAACTAAGGTTATGTCTAACACTTGTTGAAATTTGAGAAAAATTTACAAGTTGAGTTAAATCG